CTGATAAGGCAGGATCCAAGCATTGCTCAGTAGCAAATGGTTTTTGGCTCAAGAGAGGATCTGCCAAGAGGAATATGAAGAAACATAAAAATCTGAGGGCATTATCAGAATTTTACACCCATAATATTTTATATTTTTATAATAAATTAATAAGTAAGAGGTAAATTAGTAATTGTGTTTCTCTCTTGGTCGGAAATTAACCTCTGGTGGCCGGAAAATGTTATCAAGGGGTAACATGCAACGTTTTTATAGTTGAAAGGCTGAGTTGCTCTAAAAAATAGTTCAGAGGAACATTATGCAACAATGATATAGTTTAGGAGTATTTTTTACTCTTTTACCAAAGAAAAATGTAAAGTGAACGAATTCAATTAGGCTGTTATTGTATTGAATTGATTTCGAGTCATAAATACAAACTTTTTGTTCATTTATTGAACTAATTGTCAAAGACTCAAGCTTAAAATATGAACATATTTATTAAATGATTGGAACCTAAGTATATTAGTCTAGTGTCATTTGGTTTGTGAATGCATGCGTGATATATATTGTTTTCTTTTGTAATTTTAAAATTTCTTATAATTAAAAAATCAAACTCAATTTATCCAAAATGACAAAATACCAAGACAAATTTAATTATTATATGTTTAGGAACACAGATTCCATGGAATCAGTTTCTTGAATTTGGAATAAAAAGTAATTTAATTCAAAAAAATTTACTAAATTTTCACCGTACCCCAAACATAATATTAATTTGATTGTTTAAAACTTTGAATTTCTTATTTGGAAGGTGACAATCCTTGAATTTATATACTATAACATAGTATGTTGTATATACGGCTAATATATACTAATAAAAAGAGCGCATTTAATAGATATATATATATATATATATATATATTTTACTATGTAGTAAATTTATTTTAGGGCTAAAATCATTAAACCCTCATATTGTTTTCAAAAAAAGGTCAAATAACCCCCTCAATTATAAAACAACCCCCTGAAGTATCAAAAACTATCATGGTGTCCCCATTAGTAGTTAAGTGAGAGTTAAATGACCAAATTGACCTTCATATTATATTATTATTTGGAAAAATTAGATTTTGCTTACCAAATTGAAATAAAATTGCTATATAGTGACCTTAAAATTGAGAAAAGATAAATAATCACCAATTTTAAAACTTAATTGTTAACAAGTGACTCTTTGATAGTTTATTACTTAAATATCCTTCTTGTAATACATTATTTTTTAATTGAACAAATTTACCTTACAGATTAAGCACAATTAAACATATTAAATTGTTAATTAAATTATTACTTATACATTGCTTTACCAAAATAAAAACTGAGATGTTATTAGGAAAATGTGATGAGTGATGACTACTTTATTACATGAGTAGTTATATAATATACAAGACATATATAGGCATAATTTGATAGGTGTGTGGTTTAGAAACTCACTGATTGACGTTATTAATATATATGAGATATAAACTTCAAGTTGATAAAGTGTGTGTGATCCAATATAAATGTCACGCCCCGATAATTCTAATAAAATTCTCGATTTATATAAGATCAGATACATCAAAATACACCTAGGATCACAAAAAAATGGCCTCCTTTATACAAAGTCATTTTCCTCAAATATACAAAAAAAAAAAAAAAATTATCCAAATAATAATAATAAACTCGCAACGCCGACTCTTCAGCCTAAGCCCGAATCTAGCAATTCTCGTTCATTTTCGGTACCTGAAACTGGAGGATGGTGAGACAAAAAGTCCCAATACGCAAAACCATAACAAGAATTTCATGGAGATTTAATAAAACAGCTTCATAACATAAACATATACATTTAATACATATGCATTTAATTAAAAACATTTAATAAAAATATTAAAGCAAAACCTCCCCATGCCATTCAAAGTATAGAGAACCCTACTTTGAAAAAGAGTTATCCTCACTGAATCATCAAAGCTTCAAGCTCCAAGACCTCCTCTGCAACTATCGAACCTCTGTCTTTATGCTAACTATCATTCTTGGCTCACTCTTTCTGTCTCAAAACTCTCTGTCTTCACTCTATTTTTCTCTCTCAAACTTCTGTCATTGAATGCTCACAAGTCACAAGAACGCACCCAATATATAGACAAAATATACCGACCTCAACTCACCAACTGCTCTCCACCGACTCCATCTCCATACACACGTCAATCGGCTCACCACACACTCAAAAGTAAAATGTCAGACAACATCATGTCTTTCAAGCAAAATAGCCTACGTGACCAACCTGCTCCTCCTTTCTTTTCATTTCTTTAATCCCACATACAAGCACCCAAACAGCCCACGTGAACTGTACCAAAGTCAAAGAAATTTACCCATTAAAATCACAAGTGGGACCCGCGAATTACCAATACCATTACCCATTCACCAACTCCATCAGATCACATATATGTATATATATAAACTCATCTTACATCCAAATCAATTCCAAGCCACGTAATAAAAAAACAAAGTCAAAAAGTCTTACTCATTTAATAACTAAGTGGAGCCCACCAACACCACAATTCTTCTTTTCTCCTTTTTCCATTTCTCAGCCTACTCTATATACATATATAATATAACAAAATTAAATAAAAAAAATCAAAACCCATTAATCTCTCTTTACTGCACCTCACGTAAAACAAATTCCTTATTTCCCTTCCATTTCGATGTTGCCCACTTCCTTTATTATAAATAATATATATATATATATATAAATATATATATATATTAAATTACAAATCTAAATTAAATTTCAAAGCCGACCAACCCTAATAAATAATTAATTTAGATAATCAAAAAAATAATAAAATAATTAAAATCTCAAAAAATCGAGTCATCACAATAAATAAGTAATATTTGTATTTACACAAAAAGGCAATTAGAAATGGCAAATGAGGCTGCATAGTCTTGCGTTGTTACTGTTCCCCTTTCTCTATTTCTTAGCCCAAAAAAAAAACATTTGAATTGCGTTAGATTTGGGTAGTGGGTTTAGCTATTTATAGTGATATGCATATATATATATATATATATATATATAGAAGATGGCGGGGATGGTGTATCAATGGTGGTGGTGAGAGAATTCAATCCAGAGAGGGATTGCAGAGGAGTGGAAGATGAATCCTGTGATGTTTTGAATGAGAATAAGATGCACAAAGGAAAAAAAAAAAAATTAGATGATTGATGAACCTGGAGGAATTTGATGTCCAAGATTGTTGGTGGCTGGCAAGGCGACGACTTGAATGTTAGAAAACCTATATATATATATTTAAAAATCCTTTTGGTTGGTATGATGAATCAATTTGAGGAAAGGTAGGACTACAAATGAACCGAGCTGTTCATAAACAGTTCGAGCTTGGCTTGTTAAAAACTCGGTTTGGGTTCGTTCGTTTAGTAAACGAGCCGAGTTTGAACACATTTTTAGGGATCGTTTAGTAAACGAGCCGAGCTTGGCATTGCCGAACTTGAGCAATGCCAAGCTCGACTCGTTAGGCTCGTGAACAGACTCGTTTAGTAAAAGGTTTATTTATTTATTTTTAAAAAAATTACTATACAATTTTATTAGCCCATATAATATAAATTCAGTCCAAACTGTGTGTTCATAAACCCAACTTGACTCTTCATTAAGCCCAAATTCTTTTAACTTAGCCCAACTCCACTAACATGTTTACCCCATCATCACATGTATATTATATATGGATCAACCATTGATTACAATTGACTATTTGAGTTCCCACATCCCGCCGCAACAGATATCCTTTTTCCTCAACTTAGTGGACCAGTGACCTTCAGTTTCAACAAAGCATCCTTCTTCCTCTCCTGTGCATCCTTCTTCCTCTCTTACTGGTCGGCTCTCTAATCCCTTTCAATTCAACACATCTTCCTCTCGCTCATCAGTGACGGTATCCACAGATCTCTGTCTCTCAAATCTCTTTCTTGGGTTTCTTTTCTCTTATGAGGTCTTAATCTTATTTTATTGTTAATGGAATCAGAGGAAGATGCGTAGAATGATGTTCAGTTAAAGAAATGCAGTGATGGATTCATGGATTCCAAATGATTAGTTGAAAACAGTTGCTACAGATCTAAAGCAATTCAATTTAGAGCTTTTTTTATTTTTTATTTTATTTTTTAAGGCGAACTCGAGCCGAGCCGAGCCTGAGCTTACCAAAATTCTAGCGAGCTGAGCTCGAGCCAGGTTTGACTAGGCTCGCCTAAGCCGAGCCCAAACCTGGCACAGGCAAGCCGAGCCCAAACATGGTAAAGCTCGCTCGGCTTATTTGCAGCCCTAGGGAAAGGTATGCCTATTTTGTCTTTTAAACAATTCTTTAGAATTAAATTGAATTTTGACAAAGTCAAAAGGTAATAATATCTTTTTATAAGTAAAAAAATTATCTACACAATTGAAAAATAACTTTTGGGGTATGAGTGAAAAACGGACCAAATATTTGTAACATGGGTGATAGTAATTTCGAAAGTGTTTTAATGTGATATTTGGCCAAACATGAGAGGTCCTTAGTGAAATTAATTCTATGTTTTTTTACATGTAAAAGTGGTCTGATACATCTGAAAAGTAAATTTTAGAGTTTGAGTAAAAAATGGACCATATATTTATAGTGTGAGCTATACTAATTTTTAAAATGTGTTTTAATATAATATTTGACCAAATTTAAGAAGGTGTTCAAGCATAAAGAAAGGTTATTGTAACATTTTCTATTAATGTTCTTTAACCAAAAAAACCGAAAAAAAAAAAAATTGAAACTTGAGTTAATCCTTTGGTGCATTGGACATGCGAACATCGTTTATTAGTTTATAATACCTATTTAATAAATAAATAAAAGGAAATTGTTCATTGACTCAAAGTCAACGGTCTGTCAATATATGGTTTTTATGCCTATGATGAGCTGGACGAAATAATTGAAAGCAACTGATTGGGGGTTTCTAAAGTATAAGTCTACAGCTCAGAGTGACCTTATATATCACCTAGCGGAGACGTGGAACGCGGTTATGTCAACGCACTGTTATTCTTTCCATTTCTCTCTCTCTCTCTCTTTCACACACACACACACACAGAGAAATGAATTTCTTCTTTTAAACTTCACATTGGGTCTGAATTCCGCTCATATCCAAAGGTATTAGTCTCTCCCTGAGTAATTATAACAGTTGACTGCTTTGGAAGTAAAGCTATTATTTCAAGTTTTGGAGTAATCAAGTTGAAGAAGATTTACCATTCTTCTTTTTCCCACCATAATTTCAGTAAGACTTCTTTTTATAGACCCACAGAAATTAGTTTATTTAATTAATTTTTTCTCATGATTGCTTTAGTTCACTGACAATTTCCATCTATTGTTTTTTTTCTTTCCTCATATTTTTCAATGAGAAAGTAGCCTACAGTTTTCTTCAAATAACCTAATTCTTGTAAGAATCTACTCCTGCAGAGAGTGGAGAGTTGATAAAGCTGATTGAAATATGGCAACTTTTGTGAGGATTACAGGTAATTGAGCTGTCTGTAGTTCACAATCATATATATTCGTTGCTATTAATTACCCCTGTATAATCTCATGTCATAGTCTTCCATGTTTAACATATTCATAATCGATATAAAAACTTCCCCTCACTTTTCCTCTGTTAATTCGCCCCTTTTTCTTGCTACCCAAATGGAAATTAAAAGCTATAGAGAAATTAATATCCAGAACCCATTAGGTAAAATATTTGTTTATTAGAGCTGACTTCTAGTTCTTAGAAGTAAATGTGTGACCAAATCATATAATGAAGAAAAGAGCAAGAGGCTTTTTCTTATTACTAGTCTGCTATGAAGCAAGTGGTTATGTGTTATTTTGAAAATTGCTAATCACTCCCTCGTTGGTGTGAGTGAGTTAACCAACTAGTTTAAAAATAATTGTTATGCAATTTAAATGTTAACAAGACAATTGAATTTGGAGAGCTTAATTGGCCAATAATATCATCTTTATATCACCACTCTTATTTTACTGCAGTTTCGTTAATTTGTTTCCTTTCATTGGCAGTTCTGATGTGGGCTGACATACTAGCAGCGTATGCTATGTGGGTGATGATGACATACTTAACAAATGTTTGGAAGCTTAATTTGACACACGCTGCTGCGATTATAAACATTTGGGGAGGTCTACCGTTCATAATGCCAATAGGCTTTGCCTTCCTTGTTGACACATTCATGGGTCACTATGCAATGCTCTTGGTGTCCAGTATTGCCTATAGCATTGTAAGTAACAACTTTTCGTTAGATTCTCCTGATTTTCCTTTTCGCTCAGAACTCATTTTTTGTTGGTGATAATAGTTTACCCAAAACAAATGAACTTGATTCTATGCAGGGGTGGCTATGTCTACACCACCAGTTCTTTCTAAATCCACAGGCAATTGCAGTGCATACCAGCCAGAATGCATCGGTGACGTGCAAAAAATTCTCTATTACACTGCTTTAGCTTTGATAGCCGTGGGGATTTCTGGTCACGCAGTCTCTTTGACTTCATTCTTAAATAAACAAACTACTGACCAGACAGAGGATGATGAATGGAAACTTCCATTTCAATGTGTAGGCATCTTTTGTGCTCCTTGTCCCCATAATTGGAGGTATTGCACTTCCATATATAAAGCCATGGTCAATCCGGTTTGGAGTTCCAGCAATATGCACCGTGGTGGCAACTCTTTTTTTCTCGAGTGGCTCGTGGTCATACAAACATGATAAGCCACAAGGGAGCCCTCTCACAACTGTGTTCAGAGTCTTTGTGGCTTCTGCTTCCAAGATAAGCCACAAATGCCCACAAAATGCTAGTGAGCTCTATGAGAAATGTAACCTTAATCAGCGAGCTGCTCCTCGCAGTGGTGGCCTCAGGTTTTGACTCTCTACCCCTCTCTTCTACACCAGATTACCCAATAGTTTTCTTTCTAAATTTCACACACACATTTTAATGTATATAGTAAGAATTGAATCCTTAATTGCCCCACCATTCTTTTAGATATCATACTAGTACCACCATGCTTTAATTTGTTTAGCTTAAAGTAAAAGAATCAAAGTACCCAATTAATTATTTCTCTTAAATGATCTATTGTTCTGTTACTGAGAAAATAAAAAGAAGATCCATGCTTATTCTTATATAGGGTCTTGAACGTAACAACTTAAGATCATCTTCAGTTCTCGGTTTCAAATTACCTATTGCAACATTGTTAAATGCAGGTGCCTAAACAAGGCTGCCATTGTTTTGCCAACCCCAACTAAAGAAGAACAAGAGAAAAATAGATGGAGACTTTGTAGTGTTACAGAGGTTGAAGAAACCAAAATTGGCATTCGCATGGTCCCAATCTGCATGACCTTCCTTATTTTTGGGGTGGTAATTTCTATTGGAAAAACTTCCTTAATTGAGCAAGCAAACCACATGAACCGCAAGGTGGGACACTTAACTGTCCCTCCTCCACTATTTCTAATGTTCTATGACTCTGCAAAGGATCTGTTCAAGAAAGTAGATTTCAGCAAGGCGTGCTGCTCTGGCGGATGGGGATCAAAGCGTTATGGTCCCCCAACTGGAATTGCTGTAGCAATGGTATTTTCAGTAGTATGTTGTATCACTGCTGCAATAGTGGAAACTCGAAGGCACAATGTGATTAGGAGCCATGGTTTACTTGACAAGCCTGACGATAAAATCCCAATGAGCATATTTTGTTTGCTCCCACAGTTTCTCCTCCTTGGTGCCGTTGATGGAATATCTGAAATTAGCATTGATAAATTCTTCAAAGATCAAGCTCCTCCCTCCATGAAAACCTACCGGGAATTTTTTACCCATGTGTTATTAGGTCTAGGAATCATGGCTAGTGTTCTTTTTGCATGTATAGTAGGTGAGGTTAGTGAGAAGAGAGGGAAACAAAATTGGTTCCAGGAGACCTTAAATAAGAGTCATTTGGATAAATATTATTGGACACTGGCAGTTTTAAGTAGTGTCATTCTGGTGTTGTATATATTGGTGGCATTGTGCTACCCTTATAGAGAATCAGCACCAGAAGATGAGGACGCGCCACCGAATGAAGATTCTGCTCAACCACCCAATGAGGATAACCCACAGTGTTGCTGCTGTTGTGGCTAGATGTGGTATGCTGTATAATTTAGTGTTCATTTATGTTGTAGTATTTTGCAAGTCAACATGTTGCATAATGTCTATGATGTTGCAATTCAATTGTTGTATTTTACGTACTTTCTTGATTGGTGTGCTGATTTTTGTCTGAGTTCCGCTTTGTATCATGTAATAAGGAGGAATGCCTCCTTTCTTTCTGTACTCGATCATTTTGAGTAATGAAAACATCTTACTTTTCAAAAATAAAAATAATGGTGGCAATTCTGATGACAGAGAATTTGCATATGGTATATTCTGTTTTTTTTGTGAACTATGACTTTCTTTTTTTAGGGACTTTCAACATTGAAAACGCTTGGTCATCCGCAAGCAAAGCACATGAGCTGTAAGATAGACAAAGACATTGTTTCCTCACAAGGGGGTTTTAATTTAATTTCCTAAACTTAAATGTTACTTGCAAGTTGTGAGAATATCTTCTTTTTTTTATAAAAAAAAAAAAAAATGTAAAGTGAATGAATTCAATTAGGCTGTTATTGTATTGAATTGATTTTGAGTCATAAATACTAACTTTTTGTTCATTTATTGAACTAATTGTCAAGAACTTAAGCTTAAAATATGAACATATTTATTAAATGATTGGAACCTAGCTAAGTAAATTAGGCTAGTGTCATTTGGTTTGTGAATGCACGCTTGCGATATATATATATTTTTCCTTTTGTAATTTTAAAATTTCTTATAATTAAAAAATCAAACTCAATTTATCCAAAATGACAAAATATCAACCCATCTTGACCATGAAATTAAGTGGTTAAAAATTACCCAATTCATTTTTGACCTACTTTAAATATGATTCACCCAAAACTATTAAAAAATAGACGGATATGAACGGGTAGATAGGTTGTGAACCATTTTGTCAACCCTATATACTACTAAGTGGCTCTTTTGAGAGACTGAGTGTTCAAGACTCATCAATATGAAGACAAAAATTATACTAATCTGCGTAGTTGTTTGAACTTTCGAAAAATAAAAAATAGCTAGATAGTAGTATGAACATTTTGATGTAAAATTGTTCTTCCACCAAATCAAATATTGCTTTTACTAGTGTAAATTTTTATATCAAATTTTGACTCCATCACTTAAAATGAACCTTCCTCAAAATTGAAGACCTCTGATTACTACCCATTAAACATTTGTGAAAAGTAGTGATTTCTTGCTCTCCATTGAACAAGAAGAATAAGATAATTTATCCCTATCATTAGATTTAATTTAAAGGTCACATTTCAAACCTACATATATTCTTTCCTTTTAATATGAAACCACTAAAGGAAAAAAAATACCAAACCATTATCTCTATTTCTAATTTTCAAATTTAATATTTACCAATACCACTAATTATAATAATAAAATGTAATTACTAAAAAATAATAAATAAAAAAAAACTTTTCACGTCTGGAAATCTATTCTCTCTCAAACGAACAACTATAAGAAAATTGATGATCACATTCTTATCTTTGATGTAATCGAATTTTGGAGCAAACGCCCATGCCAACATAATTTTATATGTTATGATTGTTACAAAAGTGTCATACACCATTCACTAAGGTACCGTTTGATTACTCAATTCAGCACTTAATTTTGAATGTATTAAGTGTTTATCCAATTAATAAAGTGCATTTGATAATGCATTTTGAATATATTTAAAAATGGTAAGCGTCACTTAAAATATGGTAAAATTGTAAGTGACAAAGATATCACTTATTTACATTGAAAATTTAAAAAATATTATTTTTAATTACCACTTAAAAACTTCAACACTTAAAATTTAGCTCTTAAAATTTTCAATACTTAATTTTCAATTTTATTAAAGGTGAATTGCAAAAAACCCCCCTTGGCTTTTACCTGTCATCAGAAAACCCCTTATGAATTATTTTAACTAAAAACCCCCTCAACTATTATGAAGGGGGTATTTTAATTGATGTCTGTATAAGGGGTTATGTTTTGGACGAAAATGCCCCTTAAACAGTTATCCTCTTCAACGGTTTTACTTTCTCTCTCTAACACCATGCAAGGCTTCGAATCTGAAAGGCTTCCACCAGCCTTACGCTTGAGATACTTTGCATGAGCTCACATCTACTCCACACTCTCTCACCCTGTCGCGTGCACCATGGCCTTTCTCCATGGAGGAGAAGCTCAAGGAAGGAATCGAGATAGCGGATGAGGAGATCGAAACGGCGGAGAAGGAGATCGAATCCGGGGGTTGACCCAGGCTGGTCCTGAAATTTAGAGAAAGAATATGAGAATTAAAACTCAATTCGATATTATTCATGATGGTGTTACATTCAATTTATAGAATAATCAATTTATAGAATAATACCTAGCTAAAATAGGTAACTAATTATACAATAATCGGGAAACTAATTACCTACCAATTAGCCCTAAATCAAGGAATATATAATTCAATCATACAGCTGTACAATCTGTATAATCTAGGATTACAAGAGGTCAAATCTCAACACTCCCCCACACATTAGTGCATAGATGTCACACATGCCCAACTTGTCTAAAAATTTTGAAAACACTTAATTTGAGACTGCTTTGGTGAGAATGTTGACTAGTTGATCCTCAGATCGAATCTTAGGCAATTCCACAATTTTCCATCTAACTTCTCCTTAATGAAGAATCTGTCTATTTCGATATACTTCGTACGATCATGTTGAACTGGATTATGGGCAATATCACAAGCTGCTATTGTCATAATATAGTCGAATTGGTTGCCCAGGTAGATAACCTAAATCCGCAAGAGAAGTCTTAACCACAAAGTTTCACAAAGTCCAAGCGCTATACCTCTGAAATCAGCTCTGCACTCGAGTGAGTAACAACATTTTGTTTCTTACTTCTCCATGTAACAAGATTACTTCCTACAAAAGTGAACTAACCAGAAGTAGATCGCCTATCATTTATAGCTCCAGCCCAGTCAGCATCAGCATATGCATCTATGTTTTGATAACCAGTATTTTTAATGAACAAAATTCCTTTTCCAAGAGCAGATTTCAGATACCTCAAAATGCGCATAACTGCATTCATATGTTGCTCTTCAGGATCATGCATAAACTGGTTAACAATGCTCAATGTATAAGCCAAA